CAATTCCTGTGGGTGTTTATGTTTGAGAGGTTTTGTCACACCCTTAAGGATGACAGAAGGTATGGCAACTTTTGCACCTGGCTATAACCTAGGTCCCAATGGAGGATCCTGTATTCTTAGGTTCATGTATAGAGTTGGTGAATCACTGTTATACCCCTGAGACTAATGTAACATTGTGTGCCAACTATACTAAAGTTTTTTACCAGTTGTAGCCTCTAAGGGCTTCACTGACCTCCTTTATCCCTCTGCATTTACAATAATGATGGATTTACTTTGTTTCTAGGATCAAATCAGATTTTCAGGACTGACAAACTAAAAACAGAGTGAAGATGGCTTCTTCCTTTGGTTTCCCTAGGCATAAAAAGTTGTTATTCACATCACAGTCAGGCAGTACTTTCCAAACACCCGGTAGGATTGCTGAGAGTATTAATGAAATCACATAAGCAATTTATGTAGTATACAGGAGGTATACTCAAAGTGTTCATTTTACTTATATTCTGGCAAACTCACCAAATTCGTGGGCCTAGGCTGTTTGAGGTCCATCCCCAGCTAATATTTCATGTCAACCCAAGTGTGCAATCCTGCCACTCAGCTCCACAGCCAGAAAAGAGGCTCAGAAATCTCCAAGAGCAAAAATCAAGGCCCAAATTTGGGTCATAGGGGAAAAGGTGGAGGAATAAGAGAATTAAACAAGGTGTTCAACAGATTACTGAGAAAATTTAATACCAGCAAAGGGATATTTAAAACTGCAAGTATTATTTGGATTGACTGATGAAAAAAAGAATTTTACTTTTGCCTAGAATGTTCACATAATGCAAAAGTAGCTTTTCTGCTTCAACAGAAGCTGAATGGCCTCAACTGTCCACTGTTACTCACAAGAGAGCTTCCTTAAGTAAAGAAAAAGCAGGGACCACCTCTTATATGTTTATATCATGAGAAACGGAACCAAAATAGAAAATGGAAAAAACTCAAAATTCAAGTTTCTATTTCAAGTGGTATTTATTTCCTTATGAAACACCAAAATGTGAGTTAAGTACCCAAGAATCAGAATAAATCTTGCCTCATAACTGTTGGCCAAAACGCTTCCTCAACACAAGAGAACTTTTTGGATGCCAATATGATTTCTCGGGGGTGATAAGTAACCTAGTAATAATGTTAAGGCCCCAACATGAAGAATTTTGGCAACAAAAACAGACGGTTAATTCTACTTAAAAGACAGGGTAGCCCTGCCAGCCAGTGTTGTTCCCAAATGAGGTAATGTCCATGGCTCTTATCTAGCCTTTATGGAGATTTAATGTCATTTACCACTGGCTCTTACAAACCGGCTGCATAATCTCACCTTTTCTCATGTGCGTTACTTCCATCCGTCTCAGCATTGCAATTAGAAACCTCTGGTTTTTAAAATGATTAAGAAACAATTCCCACATGTTTTCTTTTTATGCATGTCCTATAATTTGAGTCTTTCTTCCATCATTCTAGAAAATTCAGAGATCAGCATATTTCTCATTTTCAAGGTATCTTATAGAAAGACTCTGAGGTTGGATTATACGTATGTAAACATTGTTCAAAGAAGCTGAAATGTGTAATTCAAGAAAATGCTCTGTGAAAGAATTTGTTTTCTTATTACAAAATGATTTCCTCCTTTTGAAAAAAAAAAAAGGATTTTATATTTACTTAGCTGGTTCTGAAAGTCCCATGGAGATTCTCAGACCTTTCAATCCCTAACACCTCTTTTCCAGGTGCAGGCTTTTTATGGATTTCAAAGGTAGCTTTATGTAGCGAAGGAATCCATACGCTGTAGAAAGGAATGAGAAAAAGCCCTCCCCATCTTAACTCATGCTTTCCTCTCAAAGAACAACAGAGTGAAACCGAGCTATCACAACATAGATGAGACACCCGAATGGACACGAAAGAGAGATTTGCACATGCCTTTGACTTCCTTTCGTCAACTAGGGTACAAACCAATCTTGGTAAAGACAGCAATTGGTTGGGCAAACATGAACACGATACTCAACACCCAATGCCCATGCTGTTTTGTTTTGTTTTCAACAAGCCCTTCATCAACAATCAGGAATAAAAGCAACAGCCGCAACCAACCTGAAGTTACAGAGTTTTTACCTTTCATGGTGTTTCACACTTTAGGTAACAGAAAAAGTGAGTATGGGATATTAAAGGCAGCCCAGAGACAGAGAGAAGACCGTGCTCTGTCACCGGGCAGACTGGTGAGACACAAGCCAGATCTGTTAGTGGCTGTGTGTGGGAAACGAGGCTGGGAGGCCCATTTGTACAAGTGGTGAGACAGCCAAAGAAGCAATTCCAACCTCATTACTTCTGACAAAAATTCAGCCGAGAGTGGATCTGCAGGAAAGAAGATCTCATGGCTGATCTCCCCTCCTCCCTTGACCATCTGAGCCCCTCTTCTAACTCAGATACAGAATCTAGGCATCTTTGAAAAGGCTTCGTTACTCATTGCCAGCTCCTTCCCTTCAAAGTAGCAGAGTTTGACAGAATCAAGTCATCTAACTTGTATGGGCCTCAGGGTCCCACGTTTAAAAGCAAGATAATTATCCCTCCAACCATCTCTTCATCACTGATATAATAATGAGGACCAAGTGAGACAAGTGCTCAAGAGTCTGCACTAAGGAGACCAACAGAAGGGCACCTGCATGGCTCAGTTGGTTAAGTGTCTGCCTGCAGCTCATAATCCTGGGTCCTGGGATCAAGCCCCCATCAAGCTCTCTGCTCAGTGTGGAGCCTGCTTCTCTCTCTCCCTTTGCAGTTCCCTCTGTTGTGCTCTCTGTCAAATAAATAAATAAAATCTTAAAAAAAAAAAAAAAAGAAAGAGAGAGAGAGAGAGAGAGAGAGAGAGAGAGAGAGAGAGACCACTAGAGACCTGCAGCATATACAATACAGACCAGAGGGTCTGCTCTGGGTCACACAGTCTTTCTGGGAGATCTGCAAGATCAACCTATTTTCAAGATGCCACAAAGACACTCCTTCCCTCCTTTGCTCTCCTTCTTGTACAGCACACAGAAGAGTTTGCCAGGGCTACAAGGTGTGTGATGACGTCTTTGTTCTAATAATGACTAATGGAATGTGTGCTTGTGAGTTCTTGTGTTTTAAGATTTTCTCTTTTAGTTTCTAATTAAATATTGACAGACAAAAGCTCTCAGGAATCCTCAATGACTTTCCTGAAGTTAAAGAGGTCCTGAGACCCGTGTGAGACCAGCCAACCTAGAACTTGGTCCCACCGAAGCTTGCAGGTCCTAGGTAGGTCAACTTCCCACCCACCCTGAGCCTTGCTATATGCTGTTCTCTCTGCATGGGGGACTCTCCCTCCCTCCTCTGCTTTGGTTAACTTTTTCTGCTCTTTACTTAGATGTCAATTTCTCTGGGAAGGTCTCCTTGACTTCCCCGAAACCAATCAGGTGGCTCTACTATGTGCTCCTCTAGCACTTAGCATGCTACATTATGATTGCCCATTTTCAGATCTTTTCTTATCTTTGACTCCTTGAATGCAAGAACTGTTCTGATGGACACAGTAGTATGTAGGAGAGGCACTCAATAACTACTTGCTGAATATATACAACAACCAAGAAATGAAGGCAAGAAAGGTCTCTTTTGCATTCATTCTCACCTAGAGGGAATTAGTTACTAAAGATATTAGTGTTCTATATTATAGTACCAGCTCATTAAAACTATGATAACAGGGATCCCTGGGTGGCGCAGTGGTTTAGCGCCGGTCTTTGGCCCAGGGCGCGATCCTGGAGACCCAGGATCGAATCCCACGTCGGGCTCCCGGTGCATGGAGCCTGCTTCTCCCTCTGCCTGTGTCTCTGCCTCTCTCTCTCTCTCTCTCTCTGTGTGACTATCATAAATAAATAAAAATTAAAAAAAAAAAAAAAAAAAAGCTTTCCTTTAAAAAAAAAAAATAAAAAAAAATAAAACTATGATAACAACAATAGTAACTATATATCACATTATGTACCAGGTACTATTCTTGGCACTTCATATGCATTAATTCATTTAATCTTCACAAAATCCCTACCAGGTATGCATTACTACTACCCTTATCTCAAAAACAAAGACAGAACAATGTATGCTAGTGATACTATAAAATGAAAAAATTAAAAAAAATGAAGACACAGATGTGCAGGTGGTGAGTAGTAGATTTGAGACTGATACCAAGACAGTCTGGCTCCAGAGTCCTATACTGTTAACCACTATATACACTGCCTCTCATGTCAGCAGTGTAGACCTCAAGCTTATAGCATATACTGAGATCTCAAGGCCACCTTTCAACTCTGCTCACAAACCAGAAACATGATTTGATATTTAAATCCCACCCCCCTCAATCCTGACCCACCACGAGTGACCCCAGCAGACACATGAACAGATCTCACCATTAAGACCTGTTCTCACGTTTATAATTAGGGTTTAAAAAAGACAGTTTCAGTAAGTCTATTTCTTGCTCATTTGCTGTACTTTAGTCATTTCTAGAGGAAATGTTAAGTGAAAAGCAGTAAGTATACTTGTGTATTTGTTAGAAAGAAAAAGTCTCTTTTGTAGCACAGAGAAAACAGGAAAGTAGGGATAGACCTTCCCATGTACTATGGTGTTGCACTGCAGAGCAAACTCTCCCTGATGTGTATAACTCTGCTTCTGTGTCTTGTGCTAACTTCTCTTTCAAGGAATGCTCACAACTTCACCCCTAACAGAGAGTGGCACTTGATGGAAAAGACAAAACTCTAAATGGTTCAGAGAGGTAAGTCCAAACGGAAAGCATGTTGTATAAAACAGGATTTAATGCAAAAGATGACTGTGTCGCTGTACTCCTGTTTGTAATGAAAACATTACCCAGGAATACCTGTTTTTTTCAGCAACAGAAAAAAGTTCTTCAGATAAAGTTAAAAGCTTGTGTATCAAATCTTTGCCTGCTAACAGTATATGAGAAACCAAAGTTTATCTTGTGCTGTTTGACAAAAAGTAGCTTTATTTACCTGGAGCAGCGTCCCATGAATATGGTTTTGCCGGAAACGCTGGTCAGTGCAGTTTGGGAGTTTGGCCAACAGAGTTCGGATGGTAGTGGGGATTTCATCTACCATAACAAATGGGACCAAGGCACGAGCTGCCATTTCACGGGAACGGTAGACAGGTGAGCGACCACATCTGGGGAGACATAAAAACCACAAGACCATTCAATACTCATTTCCATATCCATGCCTTTGTATATGCTGATATTCTCTCTAGCTCCAGATGGGACATCTGAGCTGGGAGGAGGTAGGAGATAGGAGTTCGTTCTTATTCCAAGGACTGTCAATGTGTGTTAGTGTTAGCTCTACAGGAGATTTTCCTTTTCATATAAGTCTCATTAATATCTATGATTTTATCACAGGGATAAATGTAGATTGGCTTTGGGAATGATTGAATAACAGGTAGTAGCAAAAAGAGCTTCCTCCTCAACAATCAAACAACTGTTCACTGGGTGCTCAAAATGAACAAATGATAAGTGCCATGAGAAATAAAACAGTCATTGTGGTCTTTGAGAAGCCTACACTCTGGTTGGCAAGATGAGCAGTACATTTGAGAAGATGAGCAAAAGCACAAGATAGTCCTGGAAAAATAATAAGCAAGTGATTGTCATATTTTGGCTACATGAGGATAAGACCGTAGGTTGTGGTATCGAGAGGGATAGAATCCAGGAAAGCAAGCATGATTTTAAGAAGGCTGAAACCAGGAAGTTCTTTTAACTTGAAACAGTGGTATAGAGTAAAGGTAAAAATGCTCAAGGTATAAGTAGATGCATCTGACTGAAGTAGAGGCTTCAGAAATAACAGTGGAACTTCAGGCTGAGAAGTGGGCCTGGCCAGACTGGGTAGTGCCACAAATGGCAGACTACATGATCTTAAACTTATTGTCAAGAGTAAGAGCTAGACCCTCAAGTCACTGAATCCTTCCCTCTAGGCTGACTCACACCCAAAGAACTGGAATAAAAGCCAGTTCTTAAATCAGTGAAAGTCACAGACAAGTGGTACTTTGAGATTCTACATAGGTCATTGGAAAGGCAGGTCATCTAAGGGCCTCTTGACTTTGTAAACACTCAGAACCTGAGAGTCCACAACCATTTTGCTGAAACTGTGCACTTCAGAGCCTTCACACAGATAGTATAATTTGAGAGGAAGGCCCAATATATTAAGACACCATGATCTTTTATCCAATTCAAAAAGCAACTCAACTTACAGAAATATCTTGGATGCCAAGATAAGGATGGGGAAGATCAGAAGACAGCAGACTCTGTGAAGGAAAGAGATGGTCTCTTGCTTTGTTTTCAAAATTAAATAGTATTCCAAAAGGAATTATTGGTAAGATCCAGGCCATGTAGGCTTCGCATGTGGAAGGATGAAGCCCTATGACTGAAACGTTTCTAATATCCCAGAGGCATCACTGACATTTATCTTAATAGGACAATGAAAGAACAGATACAATTTCTATACAAATGGAATACCCCAAACAGAACTTCATCATGGGGAGCGGGGAGAGAGAGAGGAGGAAGAGGCACAGGGTAAGTAAAACATTGTGTCATTTCCCCCCTATCAGCTCAGCACACACTTTATGGATTGAGAGGAGCTCACCTTACAGCACACTGTGAGAAGACACTGAGGGCTGATGTTACAGTAAGTCACTAGAGATTTCCCAATGGTCTTTGAGTAGGTTTTGCCAAACCACCCATTTTCTATGTATCTTTCCTTTAAAATGATTAAATATTTAATCTTTAATTGGCAAATTAAATTGGTAAAATGTTTGCTTTGGCCCATGGTGCGAGGGGTAGGAGGAGTGACAAACTTCACTTGACAGAGAAAAGAAAATACTCTGAAAATGCTTTGAGATTTAATTAGCAAATGACCTCACTCAGCCCAGTCATGTGTTGGGAGCTTCCCCATCTGTCCGTCCCCTACCCCCCCAACACACACACTTTGTGGTAGAGGGTGTTTTATGTTACCGAACAGGGCTCTTGTATATAAATGTTTCTTTTCAAATACAAATAACTCTGACATGGTCACAGATGTTTAGTTTCTAATTAGCAGTAACTGTACACTAAAGAATGCCCCTCCTTTTGCTCCTGACCTTTAGCAAATGATGATTTCCCAAAGGAATCTGGCATCCATACAGGAGAAATAGTAGAAAGTGGGAAAAGTGCCAGAATTTTCTGCTTTTGGATACTCTGTGCTAAGGTACTTTCCAAATGCACACAATCAGGTTAAAGAGCAAAACAAAATCTCCCCTAAAAAAGTAATGCAATTACAGAAAAAGAGCTTATTTTTAAAGTAATATTTAATTATCACTCATTATGAAACAACGATTGAATGTAATTTAAAACTCCTCTAAAAAAAATAAAATAAAACTCCTCTCTATTGCACATTATTAAAAACGGATAGATTATAGTCAACACACACACACACACACACACACACACACACACACACCCATACCCATTAAGCAAAAAACATTTCCAGGTTACTGTTTTGTCACGTACTGGGGGGCTGGGAGGGGTCTGATGAGATTTAGCTTTTCTCCAGTTCTATATGGCCTGGAGTGTGAGGGGATATAAACATAGTCTTTTTAGCCCTGAGCAGAATATATTTGAAGGAAGCTTAAATCTATCTTTCCTTTGGATAGAATCTCCTAGTCTGATTCAGTAAATGTGCCAAAACCAAGCAGAGATGCTTTTTGGGGTTAGAGAGTGTAGTGTCTATAAAGGATGGAAAATCAGAACACCTGGGTCTCCATCCTGCTTTTGGACACTGTTTTATGACCTGGAGAAGCCACTGTAACCTCTCTGGGTCTCAGTTGAGCTGACAGTGGTAGCAATAATCTATACCCGGTGTTTTCATCTGATGTCTACAAGAACATTCCAAGAGGAAAGATGCTTTGTTGATACAAAGTTTCCGTAGTGCAATGTACCTGTGCCCCGTACAGGACCAGCATGTTCTAAGTTTGTACACCTCTAAATGGCTTCAATGAGAGAATTAGGACTGTGGTGAGAATGCTGGACCATTTTTAAGAAGATAAGATGACAAAATGATGATATGAAGGTAGTGAGTTTTGTTTTGGTTTGGGCTGTGTGTGCGTGCGTGTGTGTGTGTGTGTGTGGATCTCCATTAAAAGAGAGGAAGAGGCATCTCAAGCCCTTCTGAAAAGAAGTGGAACTGCTTCTGTCTCTCTAATCCTCAGTTTCTACTGGAAAACAAAGCAAATGGATTTGGGATCTGGAAGGTCATTTCTCCTTTTACTATTGATTGAAAAACACATCTTCGGTAGCCCCAGCTATATTCTAGGCCTGAATACTGAGTCCTTCCACAGAATGTACAGGACATGCAGACACCCAAACCTCTAGACCTTTCACTCCAATTAACCATTTCCACGTTCATTTTAATCTCATATTTACTGAGCACCTCCTGTGTTCTCAGCACTGTGTAACATGAAAATGACACATCTGTCATCATAATACTTGCATCCTGCAATTATATAGCCTTGGCAGTTTATAAAACAGCTGCACACCCATATTTCTCTATCATGCAACATTCCTGCAGGACATGAGGGCATTATAAACCTAAATTAACAGATGAAACATAAAACGAAGCTCAGAGAAGCTAAGTGGACCCTTCAGGATATACAAGCAGTAGCACCCATGCCAGAACCACTATCCAAGGCTCCGAGATGGAGCCTGTGAGCTATTCCAAGCTGTAGCTCACACCTGGAAATGGAGGGAGCATAAAAATATCTCCCAGCTAATAAAAACACAAGCTTTACAAGTTATGTAGAAAATCTCTAAATGAGTGTGTTGAGTTTTTTGTTTTTAATATTTGTGGAATCATGACAACATTTCAGAATCTAATGTACACTGTGGGTGCTCTCAAAAGAGAAACAGATTTACAAACATATACATGCAATTTCCCATATAATTTCAGAGGTTCATGACACACACCCAAAACCCTTGGGGCAGTGTTTCCCAGACCCAGGGCAAGAATCTCCTATTGCTCTTTTACACGCAGTGTGACTGCCAGGTATGTGCTCTGCTTTAGAGATAGGGAGATGGAGAACAGGACTTCACTCACAGGAAATCACCAGTCAAGGGGGGAGCCAGACAGATAACCCCATGATCACAAACCAGTTGTACCCATGGAGATACACATGGCTGTGAGCAGCACAGAGAAGCCAAGCAGAAGGGAGAGTTGGAGTGGCTTTCTGGAGGAGATAAAGGACCTTCAAATGAGGATAATACATCCCTCTGGACTTCAGAAACCCTGGTGAAGCCTGAAGAGTTTAGAATATGGTATCCTGAGCAGGCAAGAGTTCTTCTGAGATCTTCCTCCCAGTTCACCTTGTTTCCTAGAGTGGTGGCTGAGCTTTATCCAGGTTTTCCTCTCTATATTTACCCTTAGAATCTGCTCCAATTTTCCTGAAAGGTTTCACAGGTAAGTGGCTGGACATCACCCAAACTGTCTCTGTTCACCCTTATCTCCTAGACGAGGCATTGAGACATCTACTGAGTGCCTAGCACAAGCACACACTGGGATAGGTACCAGAAAATCAGAGAGCAAAGCCACTCCCATGCCCCAGGATCCTACAGTGCAGTGGGAAAGACAGGCCAATCAGCCAGTGCTTCTCAGGGCCACAAGAAGTAAACACAGGCCGTTGTAGTAGAGCTAAGGGGAGATACACAGACAAGAGGGTGGATAGTCTGGGAGATATGGTCCAGCTGGGATGAAACAGTGGCTGAAGGAGAGAACATTTGGGTTTGGCCTGTGTCTTTCCCTACATGAACCCAAACTGCCCCTCTGTGTATCCAGACAGAAGGAAGTGAACTGAATTTTACTAAATGCCTACTGTGTACTGTGATTGGCTGTCTACTTTAGACATGCTGTTTCATTTACTTCACTGAATCTTCATTTAAGGTCATTATCATCATCCCTCTCTTAAGATGAGGAAAGTGTTCCCAACATACTTGAGATCCTAAAAATAGCAAGTGGCAGATCCTGCATTCCAGTTAAGGTCTGTCCACCTGCAAAATCCAGTCTTTCTAAGCCTTGACAATGCGGATGCCTCAAAATCTTTAGCCCTGGAAAAGCTTTGGAAAAGTTCACCCTAGTCACACTGAAGTGTGACTG